ACCCCTATTTAATTCTGGCGCCGACAATAGTTATATGTCTATTGAATTCTTTGAATTCCCTTGAACTGCTCTGAGTTGCTTTATTTGCTTGAATTTCCTAAATTTCGTTGAATTTCCATAATTCCGTGGTGTATCACACCCTATATGCATTACACTTGTGTGTGTATTGAATTTCTTGAATTGCTCTGAGTTGCTTGATTTGCTTGAGTTTCCTAAATTTCCTTGAATTTCCATAATTTCACGATGTATCACACCGTACGTCTCTTACTATTTATATGTCTATTGTATTCTTTGAATTCGTTGAATTTCTCTGTGTTGCCTGAGTTGCTTGAATTTCTCTAATTTCCCTGAATTCCGATAATTATATGTTGCCTTATAATTGTTAGTGCTCTGAGGGTGTTTGTCGTTAGAATTTCTTGAATTGCTTAGAATTGCTAACTGTGGAATCCTAGGGTTATCTCCTTGAATGAGCTGTAGTTTCATTTTATTAATATACTGAAAGTGCAAAAAGAATGCACCAGTTAAAAAAACTGCATTCTTTTTCTTGATACAGCATTCTCTGAATAAGAGCATGTTCGACCACAAATAAAAAGCCTTTTAGTTGTCGAAGAACACTGTTTTATTTTATTTGCATAAGGTGTGGCAAAAATAAATAATAATGAAACATTCTTCGTATGAAGTTTATTCTAATGAAAAACTGATGATTGCAATCGAAATACAATAAGCGTGAGATTAAGATGATCGGCAGAGCCGTCGTTTCTGTGATACGAAAATAAGCGGATGCCTTGCCAAAAACATTTGTGAAATTCAAGACAAATCCTTGATAATTATCTTCCTATGTAGACAAAAGCAAAAAAATGTCTGATTTTATCCATGTTTTTTTATTAAAAATTTGTGGAAATCAAACGAAATTGAATTGTTCATTGAAGAGGTGATTTTTATCAGTTTAATGAAAAGACAAATGATTTGAACTAATTTTGTCGAGGCATATTGTTAATGTGAATAAGCACCGATTGATATCATATCTCAAAGTGTGGCGGTTTTGTCAAAGGTAGGTCTACTATTATACTTACCATTGGTTGAGCCAAGAAGTCGGAAACATTATTGAAAAATTTGAGTATTTACATAAATAATCAATAGAAAAGTTTTTTACGACTAACATGATTCAAATCGATTATAAATCCAATAACCTACTTAACATATTATTGAAAATTGGCATCTTAGTGAATTCATGGCACAAATGAATAAAAAAAATAATTCAAAATTTTCATATTTTACAGAAAGGAATTATTTGAACAATGAATCAGAATTTGTCAGCGTGTAAAAGCGTCTAACACTGCTATCTAGAGTGTGTTCTGCTGTAACTAGTTTCTGTCCAGTCATAATGCACGATACTTTGAAGATAAAGCTTATCTTGATGACTAAGTTTTTCTTTCCTTAGACATCATTCAAGAGTTGTATAAGCAATGATGTCTAAACAGATAGCTTTGCCATCACATCTGTTTTTATTTTAGTTTTTGTGTTCAGTTCGATACTAAATGAATAGAAGTATGAATGTCGCATCATTCTTACTTTTTTTTTCTTCTACTTAGTAATAATTATTATTAATGCTTTAACTTTTTGTTTTTTAGCACCTTTTTAAAGATAGGTTATTTTCGCAAAATAGGGTTCTTTTCAGAAGAAAGTCAAATTAACCGATGTTTGATTGCCCGTTACTGATGAGTGATTAATCGTTCATCATCATTACGCCCCTACGGAACAGACAATTTTAATTTTTCAGTTCTCAATAAATCATAGTAATCTCATTTATTATTTATTAACAGTATTGATGACGTAAGCTCAAAGTGACAAGATAAACTTAGAACAGATTAAATACAGTCGACTGCGATCATCATTCAGGATGCCTATCAAAATTTGATCTCTCTACGTCGCTAAGTTCTAAAGAAAAATCAATCGTAACATGCTACGTATTGATATATTCTATCTGGTGGATGTCATACTATTTTCATGTAAATCATAGTCAATGAGAATTAGCGTCGATTTGTCAATGTTTTAGTAAGCGCTGATGTTAATTGAGTGAATGTTCCACGAGTCACCTGTATTGCAGTCTATATCAGTATTTCATCGAGCTCTGATGTGAAAATTATCGGGTTTCAAGTGAACATCATTGTCGTTGATATTGCTAATCCGTCAATTGAAACTGCACATCTCCAAACTTTTATCAATCGCTGATTATTCGATAAAGAGCTCGTTCTTTGAGTAAGATGCAAAAATAAATTGACTGTTGATTTATATTAAAGCTTTTTGTACCGCCATGTATAATGATAAAACCGCTGTGGAATGTGGGATTTCTATTGAGGATGTTTGTCCTTTGCACTTATAATGAGAACAACGATTTAACATAGTTTCTAAAGCAACCACGATAAATAGTAGAAAGATTAAAAGAAAACATGTTTTGGCTTAAACATGCAAAAAATACAAAATGTCTTAAACTTTTTGTCAATATTGAGATTACGACGTAAATAACTATAAATGTTGTCGTTCTATCACATCACGATCGAAGTGCAATGTCATCCTTTTCAAAGCTTTTGTCATTCGACTCGATGCTCGAAAATTTTAAAAAGACAATAGTACGTTGAAGTTGTTTTGATTTTGTGGTTTATGCCTCTGAGAAGAATGAAGCTTCTACTAAAAGTTCATCTCAATACTATCACAAGATGAAAAAGAATACCGACAAATCCAAATCATTAACTCACCCACAAATCACTGACGAACGAAATCGGCGCATAATCAGTGAGTTATTTAATCGATGATTTTTTTAATATATTTCATTCGTGTAGTTCTATTTCGGTCGTTCTAGTGAAAATATCGAGTTTATAAATCTTGTAAGTTTTTTAGTATTTTCTTTTCTTGTCGTGTTTTTTGTCGTTCAAATACAAAGTCGTTTCAGATAAACCTTTTATCATTCATCAAAAACTGTACACTTTATCTAAAAGAAAAGCGAATGACTTTTTCATTGTAAATAAATGACGATTTGGAATTCCATAACAAAAGGCATGAAAAAATTTATATTTTTCGTCATCTCTGTTAGATGTGCAATTACACAGACACTGGTCTTTGATATTTTTGTATTAGTTATTCATTCACATTAATGATAAAAATCTGAGCCAGTCTAATCTGTCTCGGTCACTATAGGTGAATTTACCGAAATTCCGAAAACAGAATGACTCAATTTATCAAGAGCATCTGAGTTTTCCAAAATTATTATCAAAAGTTGTGCATAAATCATGATTTTTGGTACTTGCTAGTCGTGTCGTAGAGATTAACTGAGAAATGTTCCATAGAATATTTAGAAATGACTGGCTACAAAGATTTTCGATTTGTTCAGATGTGAAATCATCTGAATTAATAAAAAAATGTCATTAATATGTCATAAAAGTCAGAAATATTTTTGACGACATTCTGCGAATTAATTTAATAAGCTTTAGTATTTGAATTTAAAATATGAACGAAACTATCAAAAAGCTTTCTTCTATTTAAGATATTAAGCTCTTACTATAAATATACGGCTTTAACTACCAAACTTTTTTACACTGTCAGATTGTTCACCAGTATAAATTTTACCAGTCCGATCTTTTTATGATATTGATCAATAAGAATATAGAATAACAAGTTCAGTATGATTTCATTGTTATATGACATATTCTCTGTTTGATAAAACATATTTTAGATTCAAATATTATCACATTCATAGGTATTCGTTAACTTTGATTTCTACATACATTTTGTTAGCGTTAAGTTGTTCATCTGTGTTCCAGACGAACCTGTCAAAATCACAATTGTTTTTCTTTCTAGATGAAGTTCATTTATTGCTGGTCGCTAACGCTTCTCCTTACACTTTCATCAATAATAGATGGACGGTTGACAAAGAAAGACTTAAACGAGCTTCTGGCTTTAAACTGTGATCAACCATTGGTTACACTTTATATTTTTTCGTCTCAACTAAATCCAACCTGGAATTTAAAAACAAAGCAGATAGTTAACGTGAAAAGTTTAGTACGTAAAATGGTCAAAGAGTACGATAACCATACATTTTCAATCAAACCAATTACGAGAATTATGGGTTATCAAGGTTTTTCTGTCAGTTGTTCCATTAATAACGAAATTTTCGTTCATGGCGTAATTCCTATTGAAAAGAAATTGTTAGACAGTGGCAGACCATATCTATCACAAACAATTATTCGCCATGTAAGTGAACATATCGGAGAATCAAGGGTTACGACTCATTATAGAAGTTTGCCTCGTACAAACTGTGATCATGTCCCTATTAAAGGTCCGGATAGCGTGCCTGTCTTCAATCCACAAACAGATAATGGTGGCTGTTTTATAACGAAACAATCAAAGAACAATTGCTACGCATACGGTAATTGTAACAGACTGTTACTTTTTGAATCAACAATAAGATGAACAGAGAGACTATCATCGATCAAGAACTTCTATAGTTTTAACTTTTATGCTGGAAATTTTTATTCATTATATTGTTTCTTTCAAGGTACCGATATTGTCACAAACACTTATCCTCAACCAGGTAAACGAAACGCACATTTAGTTTTCCTATTCACAAATATGTCGCTCTTAAATACTTAGGTCGCTATAGTGGAAAGAATCCATCATCACTTACATGCGAATCTCTGAGAAATGCTTCTATTCGAGATGGCTTGATTTATAAGGGTACAACATTTCCATTTGGTCAACCAAAAAGTGGTCACTATGTTGCTCTATACATTTGGCCGCAAAGAGATTATCACTGGATAAGAAAGGTTTTAGCTGTTTCGTAGCAAATATTATTTCTAACTTTTCTTCTCGTAGGATGCAAATGGGTATTGGTCACACAAACCGGGACGTAAGCAATGATATTACATGCAAATCACAATGCAATCAATATTGTGTTTCTCTTTTTCTTCTAGCTGGACCCGTTACAAATAGGGACAACATGGGTTCATTGATCTCTAACCCATTAAAATCCAATTTTGCTCCATGGACATTATTCTGCGCATATTATATTGCACAGCCATCAAAAGTTCATATCAAATAATTTTTTTCATCTGATTCCTACTTCCTATTCAAATGCTAAAAATCAATTCGATTCAGCTTAGTTAGAAGACTCATCATTGAAAATAAATATATTTCGATTGATTTAGTCTTACATTAACATGTATATTTAGTTGAACAATGAAATTTGGCCAATAAACTGATAAAATTAGGGATCGATTGGTGCTTTTATGAGGCTCAATACTCATTCATAAACTTTTGTCAAATAACAAGTCAAAGATTCAGTAGTTGCCATTTAGAACAGAAGCATACAAGAATCTGAAATGATCTGATCTTGCTAACAAATAGCACTTTTTAAAATATTGCATCAGAGAATTTTATCAGAAGAGAAAATATTTTTACGATTATAGATCTCAACAGGATTTGTCAACTATACTATTAGGTCTCTGATAAATGACTATTTGATTACTTGCCAAAGGCTCAACACAAGCATTATTAAAATGTACTTTTGTTGTTGCTTTATATTTTTCATTCATATTCGTTGTTCTACTAGACATGTATTCACACATGACCATGGTATTACCTTGCAGTATCAAAGTTATGTTCTGAAGATATATCAAGAAAATTTAATAATAAGAAACGATATCAAAGATATTACCGCGATTCATAGACTCATGAATCTATGGATTTCATCACTCGTATAAACATTAACATTGAATAATTAATGACTACTTAGTGTAGTACTTTTTGATATGGCTGACTGATTGGGAATCAATCACTTTTGTCGTTAAAATCGACGCATTCAAAATCTTCCTGTGGAAAAAATTCCACATTATCGAAAATTCTTGAATAAAATCAGAGACCTGAAATTTCAAATTCCTAAGACCGACAAAACCGATAAACAATACAAAGTGTGACAAGCAGAGACTTACAATAGCCGCGTAGAAATATATGTAAAAACAGTCGATGATCTGAAATTGACATGATAAAGGGAGAGCACACTCGGCAATGCTTTATTTGGAAAATAACATCGTACTCTTAACAAGAAGCATCTTCTTGTATTGCATTGCCACTGTTCGGTCTTTTCTAGATCCTTCGTGAAAAGTATTTCTTTTCTGAAATCTTATGGTTTGAAATCAGTAAAAAGACAAGTTTTTTTTATGGTTCTTGTGTTTTGATCCCATACATCTAAAAAGTGTCGTGCTATGGATTTTTTTCAACTATATCTTCTGATTGGTCTTTAGACTTTAGAGAGACTTTATTCATGGTTAATACGAGGTTTCTTATAGACATTACCAGTATAGATGCAATAATTCATGTCGATATTGGACTCATCATATCTAAATTAAAGACAGCTAGAAAGCTTCTTCATTCATATAAGACATACTACTACTGATAAGAAAACAAAACGAACTATAAAGTTTGATTTTTGTACTGGACTTCATATGATTAGACTTCTTAATATCTACATATTGTCAGAGTTGTATATAGTAGTAGCTGTCAAAACTTATACCATAAGACGAAATCTTTTCTAATGTAGATGTGACGAAAACATGAACTAACATTACTAATCGTTGAGAATTTCCGACAGTAGACTAAAAGCAGTCAAGAAAAAGAAGCTCAAAATTTCGAAGTGATATATCTTCAATATATATTAAATCATACTGTAACGAGTGGTTCACTTCTTGTGACTATATTGAATACATAAGAGATGATCTGAGCCTCCCATTGTCCTATGAGATTGTGTGAATTAAGAAGATAAAGCTCGAGCTTTGATGACTACTAGAGATTTCTCAGTTAGGAACTTTCGTACTCATATTTCTCGACTGTTCAAATCGTGAAAACCATTGAAAACTCACGAACTACCAGCCATTTTTTAAGCGATATGCGAAACACAGACTTTTGGCTTACACTAACAAAGCTCATAATTGCATGTTTTTCACTGAATCTAATGCTCATGTTATCATAATGGAATTCGAAAAATGGATCGACTTTACGATTGTTTCAAGCTGGATGCAGAAAATCTACGGCAAAAGATTTCCTTCTTTTAAGTATCAAGTGTCGAAAAAAACATGATAGCTGTCTTGAGATCTCAAAGTCTTCTTTAAAAGGTTATAATTATCTTCGATTGCTTTCATTTTGAACACAACATATGTGTCTGTATTAACCATAATTGATCACCTTTAAAACGAAAAATCAAGTGAATGCCTTATTAAATTAAAATCGCAGTAATACACGACTAAAATGTTAAAACATGTTTTTTGTCCTACTCACAATAGATCTCGTAGACACCAAATGAAATATGATTTTGATCTTTTAGGAGAGAAAGTAGCAAATAATCATTCGTCGATTCAATCGGCGATCTATTAAGTATCACAACATTTATTGGCTTGAAAAAATATCTCTTCCTTTCAGGTTCAATTTCTTTTGGCTGGAGCATCTTCTGATGAGCAGATAACAATAATTTGTTTTATTTTGCTACAATCTTTTATTTATACAACGGGACACGACCTTTGAGGCATACCATCCGTATTTTGTAAATTAAGTTTGATTCTCTATACTGGTGATGGTGTGTTGGCTCTCTTGAATACTATTTACAAACAGGCAGATCCGTCATTAAACGACAATACATGAAATTGAGGAGAGCCAGATTATAATTTTTTGGCACTGTTTTCTTGTCTACTAGTACAGATGTTTCTGTCGGTATCTTTCGCGATGTAATCCTGCGAATAAAGTATATGATTATATCGATGTCATCTTTACTCATATTTCATTTTACTTGTATGCGATTCTTGATTTTTGCTCACTATTAACACTGCCATTTGCGTCACACTGATTTTGGTTTATACAAACTCTTGTACCTCATTCTACTTGTATTAGGCCTTGTCGCCAAATTTTCAGCAGAATGTGAAAGACATGCTATTCTTGAAGTCACGACATGTAAGCTGTGCTATTAAATTCATCCAACAAACAGAATCTACTTATCTATCGAGAATAGAGAATCAAGATCGCAATGAAACATGATCAATTCTGTGCTTTATTGTTAATTATTTTCGAATCACTGCTTCTTTGTTTTTTTTCCTGTCAACTTCCTTCAGGTAAACGTACCAGTAAAAGAGATCAATATTTATTTGAAAGTAAAGAAATGCAGCGATGGACAGATTTTTAGAATTAGAAAGTTCAGAAAATTTCTCGTTAAAAATATAAATTACGGAAACTCTGCATGAGTTGAAGAGATATTTCCGAAATTTTTACTGAATCGGAGTGGGCCCTTCCTCTAACTCTCATATCTCATCAATTTAAAAATAAATCTATCAAAATAGCAAAACTTGATATGCTACCGAATTTTGATCATGTATTTGACTGCAAAAATAGTGTTTCTACTGGATCCACATATCTGAAATAATCAATTTCAAACTGTTTTCTGAATGCATCGAACTGACAAGGTCACGATAGAAAGATCCTCTTTTCATAATGAATTTGAACTTCGTCGAAATAAAAGTTTAAGAGAATGAGGAAGATTTTCGCTCAATACTCGATTTTGTTTGATGTCATATCGCACGATATAATAACTATTAAGCCATTATTGTCTGTATTGATTGCTGCATAGAAGAAAGCTTTCGTGTTAAACGCTCGATGGAGAAAAGCTTTCATTCGTTGAGTTAAAATAAGAGATTGAACGCATCACTGCCATGCTGATAGACATTATCTGCTTTTCTGTGACAAGAGATAGTCATCACCAAGAATAGATAACGTTTCCTGTTGCAATAAGCGACAACAACTTGCACGAAAACAAATCCCAAATCATCTAATTAATTCAATGTCAATTTGGAACCAACAAAATTGATGCTACAACTTGTTTTATCAAAATTCAATTCAGATGAATTGGCTTAGGTTTTCATTTGATGAAAAAATCCAACAAACAAAAATATTGCTGAAACTATTGACGATTTAACACAGAAATAGACTCAAAATAGGTTTCGCTCGACAAAGAGTGCACAAACGTTATGAAGAACCACTTGAATTGTATATGGTTCATCATTTTATTTTATTCAGTCAATTCGTAATGGAAGCATGTTTTAATTCTAAATCGATTCGGTGATCATTAAATCATTGTCATATCTCTTCAAATATCGATTCTAATAAAAAATACTAATATAATGATCGAGTCTAGCGTTAGTATCAAGAGCAAAATGAGTTCTTTTTCGATGAGATGGACAGGGTCATTTGAAGCATTCATATAGAAAAATATTGAACTTTTTGTTAGAGGTTTGAGTCACTGGATATTCGAATGATTCGTCTTTTGAATGTTTTCAGAAGTCGTACACATATTAACCAATTTTTTGGTGTAAACTTCACAGAATATTAACTGGTAAAAACAATATCGGAATTTCTATGTAATTTAAATCGATAATGAAGCTCATTAGTGAGTTATATATATTACGAAAGTTTCACGATAACTTGGCTATATATGTACTATAAACCTGAACTCATTAGAAATCGATATAAGAGTTATTATGAAATAAATCGCTTCGGAGGTAACAGAATTGCTCATAGCAAAATAAATGTTTATTGGACAAAATATGTTAAAAACGTATGTATTCTTTAGAGAATAATTTTGATCGATTCAAAAATTATCATATTGTTAAATCTTTTGAGCATATTAGACAGACTAATACTCTATCTATAAAGTTATTTTATCTACGACTCTTCTGGAACGGCTATGGCGCGTAAAATGTCAATTACTGTTAATCTGAATCTAGTGATGTACTTGCTCTGTGCAAATAGAAGAAAAGCCAGTTTATTTCAAGTATTTATTTTCGTTATTTTGTTGCATATGATTATTAGCCACACATTATGGTTTAGACATATAAAATTTACTTAAACAAAGCTCTTTTATAGTAGTAATGTAAGTGGCGCATATAGAAATTATCATGTTATTATTTATTTACATTTATTATTAGATTTTGTCAAATGTCGATATTGGACGAGAATACGTTTGCATTAGTTCTTCTTTTAGATGTTACTCAATAACTATTGTTG